CAGGAATTTTGGGGCACTGCTGCCCACGCAGCAGCAGGTCCAGGAAGCAGCTGGGTCACACTTGGCACTAAAAACCACCGCCAGGACACGAAGCCAACAATTTTCTTACCCAAGCAGCCTCTGCCCAGCGAGGCCACGTGAATCCCCCTCAGGAAATCAACTCGCCAAGATTTCATGCCAGGCAATTCCTGCTGTGCCCTCCTCCCTGGCAAAGCTTTGGGGAGAGGGGATTCTCCCAGCCACTGCCCGACACATCTGGCAGTGCCACTTGCAAACCTGCAGCAGTTTGGCTTGTTGGGGAATTTTAGTGAATTTTACCTGGTTGGAACTTGTGCTCGGCCCTTTCGTGGTTCTCACCCTGCGCTCCTGCCTCCAGCTGGGATCATCATCATCCCTTGTGGCCCAGCAGAGCCTCGGGTGGGGCAGCTTCACTGGGCAAAAAACTGCAGAAAATGCCAAGTTTGGGATTCACAGGGGCTGGGCAGGTGCAAGGCAGGAGCAGGGAGGTGGGAATGGGGCAGGGATTCGGGAACGGGGCAGGGATTTGGGAGCGGGGCAGGGAGGTGGGAAAGGGGCAGGGATTTGGGAATGGGGCAGGGATTTGGGAGTGGGGCAGAGATTTGGGAACGGGGCAGGGATTTGGGAGTGGGGCAGGGATTTGGGAATGGGGCAGGGAGGTGGGAACGGGGCAGGGAGGTGGGAACGGGGCAGGGATTTGGGAGTGGGGCAGGGATTTGGGAGCGGGGCAGGGATTCGGGAACGGGGCAGGGATTCGGGAACGGGGCAGGGATTTGGGAGCGGGGCAGGGATTTGGGAGCGGGGCAGGGATTTGGGAGCGGGGCAGGGATTTGGGAACGGGGCAGGGATTTGGGAGCAGGGCAGGGATCTGGGAATGGGGCAGGGATTTGGGAGCGGGGCAGGGATTCAGGAACGGGCTCCAAGAGGCCTGGGAAGAGCTGCTGCACAAAGAAAACAGAGGCAGAAGGGCAAAGACAGGAGGTTTTTTTGAAAAGATGCAAAAGATTTAAAACCAGAGAATTGTCTGGTTATGGCTAAAATCTCCTTTTGCCTCTTCTTAAGGGAGCTTGAACGCCGCTGAGGCAGCACTGGAGGGATGTCCAGCACTCACTGCCAATTCCCAAGGGGATCCAAGGGCTCCAGGAGCTGTTGGCACAGCAGGGCAGCTGGCCCTTTGCTGGTGCCTTTATCAGCCCCAAAGACAGAGCAGGAAAGTCCTTTAGGCCACAAAGGTGACGTGGTCTGGGAGGAAACACCGAGCTCTGCGGCGTTCAGGAGCTGGGGGCCGAGGCTGATGAAGGTTGAAGCTGCTTTCAACATCACTGTTCAGGGTGCCAGATGGAGGGAAGGGGGAAAGAAACCCCACCCCGTTCTCTGCTGGAGCCTCCCGAGGCTTTGGAGGCACCGTGCTGGATTTCCAGGGAAGCTTTTAAATCCGACCCCCTTGTTGGCCTCCTGCTCGTCACAACAGCCCCCTGGGAAAAGCCCGGCACAGAGCAGGAGCCTCAGCCAAAATCTGCCAGCTGTGACTGGCCACAGCATGGATGGAGGGAGGGGAGCACACAGCTCTGACACTCGGGGGGCTGCAGCCAGAACCGTGGAACTCAGAATGGTCCAAAGGACCTCAAAGCCACCCTGGGTTTGGGTCCAAGGGACCCAGTGCCCACCTGCCATGGCAGGGACACCTCCCACTGCCCCAGGCTGCTCCAGCCTGGCCCTGGGCACTGCCAGGGATAATCCAAGGGCAGCCACAGCTGCTCTGGCATTTATCCTGGAAGCAAGGAGCAAAGACACAAACAGCACCCACCACCAGCCTGGGGTTCTGCCAGCGTGAGCAAGCAGCTCACCTGCGTCCTGCTGCAAGGAGAGGTGCAGGCAGCAGCTTGGGGGCTGGGATTTTTTCCCTGTGCCCACAGCAATCTCTTAGTTTTGAGAGTTTGGATCCTGTTTAGATGCCTCTCCCTCCCCAGGACTCCCAGCACACAGAGGGGAGTGGGCTGGGACACGGACAGGGGGGTCTCCTTTGCAGCCCTCTGGGGTTTCAGCCATTCCCAGTCCCTGCACTGGGCTCCTCCCCAGCACTCACCCCACACCCCGAGCACCAGGCACTGAGGGAGGAGAGATTTGGGAAGTGCAGCTGCAGAGCAGGGATGCTGCCATGGTTGTGCTCCAGCTGAGTGACCTCGGCAAGGAGCGTCCTGGCCCAGGCCAGTGTCCATCTGCTTCTTCTGGACACGGAGGAGGAGTCAGAACATTCCCATGGAGCAGCTGCTGGCTGGCAGAGCGGGACTGAGAGATCCTGCCCAGCCCTTGTGGTGCTGAGCTGGTGCTTCACCCCCCCTGGGCTGGGCCAAAGGACAGTTTGGGGCACTGGGGCACTGCCCATCACCTTTCCTGAGTCTCCAGCACCCCACATCCCCTTCCCAAGGCAATGGGAGAAAATTGTAACCATCACTTCCGATTTCACATTTCATCATCTCCTTATTCAAGGGATTCAGCTTTGAGGGAAAACAGCAAATTACGATTTTTTTTTTTTTTTTTTAAACAAGATAATTCCAAGTTTAATCCTCTTGGGAGCAAAAGGATTAACAGCAGGTTTTAAGAAATGGGTTTCAAAAATGAGCAAGTTAAAATTCCACATAAGGTATCTCCATTTCAGTATTTTTTGACATGGATACAACAGAGTGAACCAGGAAGTTCCCAGGCACGCGGAGCTTCCCAGGAGCACCAGTTTTCACCTGGAAGTTGGTGTGAGGAAGATGGATCTAAGAGTTGGGGCTGAAGTGACCCCAAAACCAGCAGCAAAGCAGTTTGGAACTGCAGAACTTTCTCAGCTGGGGGGTCCAACACAGCTGAGAAGTTCTGCTTCCCCCGTGGATTAATCCCAGCTCCTGCCTTTCCTGGCAGATGGAGAAGGCACCACAGCCACCCCCAGAAGTGGTGTCAGAGCAGCTGCTGGGATCCCTCACAGCCAGGATCCACTCTGGCACCATTTCAGGATAAAGAACAACTCCCAGGCTCAGAGGCAGCTGTGACACCACTGAGAATCCTGGGATCACCCAAGTGCTGAACCCCCGCAGCTCCCAAAACCTCTCCCTCCACAGAAACACCAACTCCTCCAGAACCAACACAAACACACCATGAAATGAAACACCCTGCAGGAAGTGAACGAGGTGAACGTGATGTTTATGAACAACGAGCAGTTTCCCTTTGCTGGGCTCCCAAGGCTTCCTGCAGCTCGCCCAGGTGGGAATCCTGAGCCATCACGGGATATTTCCCATTTTCCTTCCCACAATGCTGCACAGAACCAAAACTGCAGCTGATAAAAATAATGACCCCCTCAATCCCCCCCAGCAGGTCACCCTGGAGCAGAAACAAGGTTTAAGTACAACCCAGATGATCCAACTGCAGCGGTATTGGCTTCATTTGACTGTATTTAAATAAAAGAAGCATTTAAAAATTAACAGGCACTACAATTCCCTGGCAGTGCTGACACCGAGCCCAGCCCCACGAGGCTGTCCCCAGCCTCCCTGGGCGGTCTGGGGGTGTCACACAACACAAGAAGCCACAACATTTTCACGAAGCAACGTAACCAAGAGAATCCCAAGGCGGCTCCCAGCCGGCGTCCGGCTCGTGGGGCCGAGGTCCAGGTGATCCCAGGGAGGAGACCCAGGGGAGTGGGAGCACAGGAACACGGGGCTGTGCCACTGCAGCCCCCGGGCTGGGCAGTCCTTGCAGGTCCCTGCAGCCCTCAGAGCTTCTTGAGCCGACTGTACATCTCCCTCTTGCTCTTCTCCCCGGCCCAGGTCCGGCTCTTGGTGCGGAACCGCTTCAGGTCCTCCTTGAAGTCCTTGTGGTGCATCGGGCGGTAGCTCTGGGGCTCGCAGAAGCTCTGGGGAAACAGGAGCTGGGGTCACCTCAGTGTCACCAGCGTGGTGATCCCAGCACCAGCAGTCACTGGAGCAAACGGGGACAGACCCCCCTTCCAGGCAGGAGCGCTGTGGCAGACACACAGAGCTCAGGGAAGATTCAGGTTACAGCCAACAAAACAAGGGCTTTGTGTTCAGGGCTCTCATCCCAAATTTCCTGGCAGGCAACGCACAGGCTGAGCTGGTTGAGAGTTCACCTTGCAGTGGCACGGACTGGAAGGATGTTCCAGCCCAGCTGGCCAGAGCAGGGCTGCTGATCACGGCAAGGTCGTGGATTCCATGCACGGAGGGAACACGGATCACTGCGGGTCCCCTCCAGGCCAGAGCATGCCATGATCCCCGTGGAGCTGCCCTTGGCTGTCCCGTGCTGCCACCTTGAGGCTTCGGTGCCCCCTCCTCGGGACAACCCAAAATCCACGGGGACACCCCAAAGCACGGGTGGCCCTCAGCCCAGGGGAGCCAAAACCCAGCAGCACCGGCTGCCAGGGCTGGGAGAGCCAGCATCCCACAGGGAAGGAAGGAGCTGACAGCCCCATCCAGCCGGCCATGGCCAGGCCAGGTACCTCCCACCTCCCAGGGGATGACTGGAAGTGTGGGGGCCTGAGGAGCTGAGGCCTGCTTGTGTCAGAGCAGCAGGACAGATCCCAGGAGCACTGGGACCATGGAAATGCTGCAGGAGCCAAGGACAGAAGCAATCTCACTCCTGAAGTGCTGGGAAGAGCTGGGAGGTGGGTTTTAATTTCCTTGTCTTAATTAGAGGCTGCAAACTCCAAGCTCAGGTTTTCAATTTTGCTGGTTTAGGACTGTACAAGACCTCAGGTTTCCATTTATCCAGCAATTACTGTCAAGCCTTGTCTTCTCCCCTGCTCTGAGCAGGCTGAAATCCTTTCTCTGAGTGACAGTTTGTTCTGAAGGGGCAGAAACCACTTCTGTTTTGCTTGAGAGAAGTAGAGAATCCCTTCAGCTATATGGCAGGAAGACAGCTCTGAGACACAGAACAGGCTGAGCTGCTCTGGAACAGCCCAATGAAAAGAGAACGAGGAGGAAAAGCCCCCCAGACAAACCACTCTGCCCCAAAGAGAAATGTGAGTAGGAAGAAAAGAAATTAATATTATTCATCTACTATTTCTTCAGAGTGTGAAAGAGACCATAGAAAGGCTTGAGTTGGAGGAACCTAGAAGATCTCCTTCCATACCCTGCCATGGCAGGGACACCTTCCACTGTCCCAGGCTGCTGCAAGCCCCTTCCCACCTGACTTTGGACACTTCCAGGGATGAGGAATCCACATTACTCACCTGGCACCTCGAGAAGAAATCCTTGTAGCCCCCCTTGAGCACGTAGAGCTCAGGGTAGTGCAGGTTGGGGTACTCATTGCTCAGCCTGTCCTGTTCCCTCACAAACCGGCACCTGCGGTGGGGAAAATCCTGTGTTAAATCCCACATTCAACGAATAATTCCCAAAGCTGCATCCAAACCCCCATCCCTCGATGGAGGAGCTGGAGCTGCATGTCAGGGAGAGCCTGAGGAGCCCCACAGCCAAAGTTCAGAGGGGAAAGGAAAAACCTCTGAACGTTCCAGCGCTCCAGCCCAGGCCCAGCACGGCTCCTCACGCCCAGGCTGTGCCAAACGCAGCCAGTGCAGGGTGACAGCCCACACAGGGTGACAGCCAGCACAGGGTGACAGCCCAGCCCAGGGTGACAGCCCAGCCCCTCCAAGTGCTGAGGAACAGCCCAGGCAGGGAGGGGAGCTCACATGCGAGGGCCACGCTCCGAGGAGAACTCGCAGTGGAACACCACGATGACGCGCTTGTCCTCCGACGGCTGGATCGGCTTCTTCAGCAGGAAATTCTCCACCTCCTCTTCCATGTGGAGGTTTATGGCACCCTGCAAGGGCAGAGTCTGAGCACTGAATGGAAGGGAACAGCCACAAACTCATGCCACTCCCATGGGAAGCAATTCCTCATCTGGGTTAGCTGGGAGAGCTCTGGAACCCTCTCCCAGCACAGCTCCAAACCCCGCCAGGGCACCACAGTCTGGAACTGGCTCTGTGTGATTCCTCAGCCAGGAATCTCTTCCCTATATCCCGCTCATCCCTGTCCTCTGGCAGTGGGAGCCATTCCCTGTGTCCTGTCCTTCCATCCCTTGTCCCAAGTCCCTCCCCAGCTCTGCTGGAGCCCCTCTAGGCACTGAAAGGGGCTCCAACACCACAAGGTGTCTGGGTGATCTGCTGCTGTTGTGTTTTACACAGCCACTTTTCCTTTCAAGTCTGTCATTGAAATGAAGCTCAGCATTCCAGTTTTAGCTTCCTGAGAGATGAGGATGCTGGACACAGAGTGTCACATCCCAGGCAGTGGGTGAGCATGGCAGGATCCCAGAAAGGCCCCTCAGGAATAACATATCCACAGGGCCTTGGATAAAATCAGCCCCACAGGGATCCCAGTGACCCCAGGCTGCAGCTTCAGACCACCTGCACTGCTCTTATGGGGCCAAAATACCTTGATGTGTCCCCCTTCGTACTCATAGGGGTATCTACAGTCAATTATCACACACTGCTTGATGAAGCTCTCAAACTTGCCAGTCAGCACAGACACAATCTGAGAAAAAAAAACCATCACAAAAACCAGAGTTCAGTTGTTTCAAGCCATTTTTTGTGTTGTTCCCCAACCCTCACTAAAGAATTTTTCTGGCTCCCTTGGAGCACTCACCATTTCGGAGTCGATGTACTTTAAATCTTGGTGTTTCCCATCGACAGTGTCAAATAAATAACTCTGGAAGAGACAGGATTGAGAAAATTCCAGCTGTGAGTCACATGGGTGACCAGCACAGCATCCAGCAGTTCACTCTAACAGATACTCTGCTGGCCAGAACCTCTGCAGGAGTTAAAACTCCTAAGAATGCTAAAATCAGGCACAAAATTTAGTTTTTGTCTCCTACACTAGAGGGATTTTATAGGACTTTAACCACAAATGGATCAGTTTGGTCTAACCTGGGATATCCCCTTCTCACCAACAGCCTCTCCTGGTTGTTTGAAGACCAAAGAATTGTTAAGGTTGGAAAAGACTCCAAGAGCAAGCCCAAAGAAGCAAGACAGGTTTGAGGGAACAGAAAAGCCTCTATAGAGGGAAGTGTTTTTCTGGGCTGGTTTGAGACATCCCCACCAAGAGAGGCCCTTAGAACACTTCATTCAACACTTGGCCATGGAATCTCTGGCATTACCTTGGAGAAGTCCCCGATAAGGTCTCTCTGGTCACTGTCCAAAATGCTCTCGATCTCTGCTGTGGAGGGCTGGGTCCTCACCAGCTTCAGGCTCTGCAGGACACAGAGATCCATGAGCACTGAGGGCAGACATGTCCCATTCCCTGTTTCCCATAGTTGACAGCCTGGAGTGCACTCCCAAGCCTGAACACACCCCTCAGCTTCCCTGCTCGGAGCAAAGCTCAGGTTCAGGACTGTGGAATTGTTGCCCCAAAAATCCACCTGGAAAAGCTCCCACCAACCTTCACAAACCAGACCCCAACCCTGTATCTCCCCTCATCAATTCTCTGTCACAAACCGTCGAGTCCTCGGAAGTTCCGGGCAGGCTTTTCCTCTTCTTGCTTTTCCCTGGAGAATTCTCCTCCTGGGATCTCTCCATCCTTTTCTGGGTGGTTCTTCCTGCAATGCTTGACATGGATGAAGAGCCAAACAGCCGGCACCGCTTGGCCTACGAGGGAGAAGAGGAGTTGAGTTGTCCAGCAAAGGTTTATAAAAGAAAATAAACCCAACTCAGGCTTTCAGATTATCCCAAACTCGGCCTCAATTAAGGCACCACCGCTGCAGAGCAACAGGGGGCTGTTAATCTGAATTATCCAGGCTTTACATTTCCAGTAACACTTGTTACTAGGGATCTTGGGGCACCATAAGTAAGATAAAGAGCCAGCAAAGTGTTCTACATCAATTAGCAGCCAATTTATCAGCAGATTAAGGAGCTTTCTGCTGGAGCTCCTTTCCCAGTCTGTTATCAAAGCATCAGGTTACAGCATTCCAGGTGAGTCCGTGCAGAGTGAATTCCAGATATGCCAAGACTCTGATAAGGGAAGTCAAGATCTTCTCACATTTATGAGGTGCAAGAAGAAATTCTATTCCTATAAACACCAATTGTTCCACGCTGACAAAGTCTGCTCCAGAGATAAGGGAATTCTGCAGGAGGTCATGCTAGGGCTTGTCCTGTTCTTGGGGAGGCAGGAGACAGCAGGATCACTTGTCCCACTGCTTGTTCTGTTCTTGGGGAGGTAGGAGCCAGCAGGATCACTTGTCTCACTGCTTGCTCTGTTCTTGGGGATTCAGGAGCCAGCAGGATCACTTGTCCCACTGCTTGTTCTGTTCTTGGGGAGGCAGGAGCCAGCAGGATCACTTGTCTCACTGCTTGCTCTGTTCTTGGGGATGTAGGAGCCAGCAGGATCACTTGTCCCACTGCTTGCTCTGTTCTTGGGGATTCAGGAGCCAGCAGGATCACTTGTCCCACTGCTTGTCCTGCTCTTGGGGATTCAGGAGCCAGTAGGATCACTTGTCCCACTGCTTGTCCTGTTCTTGGGGATTCAGGAGCCAGCAGGATCACTTGTCCCACTGCTTGCTCTGTTCTTGGGGATTCAGGAGCCAGTAGGATCACTTGTCCCACTGCTTGCTCTGTTCCTGGGGATGTAGGAGCCAGCAGGATCACTTGTCCCACTGCCAGTCCCTGTCCCTGTGGGGGACACTCACCCGACTGTCAGCTCTCCTCATGACCAGCGGTGCTGTCCAGAGGCTGGACACGTCTGAGGGCATCTCCTCATCGTTCTGGAAGAGAGGGAAGCTCCTGCTCACCCACCCAGACTGCACGTACAGCTCAGCTGAACATTCCAGCTGCAATCAGCTGCAGGGATTTAACTCCATCTCCAGTCCAGTTCTCAAGGAAACAATGCAACTGAGCTGAGCCATGTTGGAGAAGGTGAGTTTATCAATTCCTTGATTGATTAACAAAGATGAGCCTCCGGGGCTTTAAGCATTTCAAATGCCCTTGGAAACAGTCTTGTATCTAAGTGGCTCAAAGCAATCACCACCTCTGACTTTTTCAGCAAGTTTCTAAAGAAAAATTCCAACTGTTCAAATAATTCCCTCAGTTCTCAAACTAAAAATAATTCACTTGTTGAGACCCCAAACAAATTCCACTGGCTGCACTAGGAAAGAGCACTTAGAAGATAAAGACACCCCAGTGGGAGTTAGAAAAGATGATGAGAACTAATTAATCTCCTTGTGGGAGATGTCCCTGCCCATGGCAGGGGATTGGGACTGGATAGGCTTTAAGGTCCCTTCCAACCCAGACCAGTCTGGGCTTCTGTGAGTCCCAAAAACCCAGCGTGGTGCAGTTTGAGCAGCCTGACTGCAGCCAGAGCACAGCAGACACATCGGGCAGAGCTGATTTGGGCATCTCCACCCCATCCCCTCTGCACACACCTTCAAGTCCTGCTCATCCAGCAGCTCCATGAAGCCATCGTCATCCTCGCTCTCCGAGGAGGGCAGGGAATGCTGCTGCAGGAAGGCTGCCCTGGAGTTCTCCTGTTCCCCTGAGGCTCTTTCCTCCATGGGCAGCTGGGAGGAGACAGAGGGAGGGTTAACAGCATTCCCTCTGCTCCCTGCAGGATGCTGCAGCCACGGAGGGGCCACCACCGTGGTTATCCCCAGCCCTGAGCTGCAGCACAGGCAGGGATCAGCAGGATTCTGGAAGAGCTGCTGGATCCAGGGAGCTGAGACAAGGCCTGGCTCCCCAGCTCTGTTTCTGAACAATGATTTTTCAGTTGCTTTTTGTAAAAAACAAGGTATGAATAAGGTGAATTTTCTCCCTGGATGTCACATCTGGACATAAAATCCAGCTGCATTTACACAGCTGGGTTTGTTGTTCCAAATGCATCTGCCTGAACATTCAGTATCAACCTTACTAATCACTTCAATCCAAATCAATGTCCACACTCCCTTCACTCGCTGAGCAGAACCCCAGTTCTGTGCTGACTCGTTCCCAGACCAATGTTTCAAATTTGTCATGAGCCAAAGGTGAGAAGAATTTCCTTATCTGGCAGATAAATAGGTTTTTCTATCTGGCACCTGGCTCACATCACCACTTTAGAACCCTGATTTGGTTATTTTGATCCCAGAGAATCAGGTGAGAATCTGTTGAAAAGAACCAAGTACCTGAGCTGGAGATGAATTCTGCCTTGCTCCAGGAACACCCCTTCCATCACGGAAGCC